AAATGAAAGACTTTGATGCTTAAAATGTTAATGAAGAATGTGGAATACTGTTGTGTATTTTTATTTAAACTACCACTACCAGCCATATATAGTTTGATAATAAGACAGTATTTATATTCCTAAATTAATATTGTTTATGACGTTCAGAGACATTATGCTCCTTATTTTTATGCTCAGCTACCAAAATTTCCCTTTAGCTGTAAAATTCCATTTTAATATTTAATATTAAGCAGATTTAAACATGCACAGTAAAGAAATTAAATGAAGCAATCATTTCACTAACAACCAATACACCACAAGTGCCACCTGTCAGTTATTTTGGCCAGCCAATCAGATACTGTGGTATTCTGTGCTAATCTGTAGATTATTTTGCAAGGTACAGGGTTTAACAGCACATTTTGAATGGCTGCATCTGTACATCTGTCTTCACTGTCATGGTACGGTTTCAACATATTGATAAGCTACTCTCTAGTCACTGGCAATTGTAACACATTACTGTAATCTTATTTATTGTAATTCTTTATTTAACTTAAAACATTATGTGAATAAATCCTTAATCACAAAACCATCACTGACAATAATTCATCCAGATACACACAATCTTCCCAGAAACAACCTCCCAGTTAGTCTTTGGACTGCACAGTACTATACAGTACAGTATATGTTCAGCACGTTCACAACAAGCTATAATAAGAAACTTTTTATATATCCAACAGAGTAATTTTGTTTTTATAAAATAGATCTACTTTTTAATTAATTTAATATTTAACATACTGTAATACACAGTTTAAAACTTATAAAAATCTAAACAGTATACAATTTACATTCTATAATTGGAAAAAGAGTCTATCAAGGGGCTCAGCATCGACCAGGATTCAAAACCTTGAGTGCTTCCTTACGCCACATTAAGCATTCACTGAGCTACCTGGTGGATGTACAAAATACTGCAATCCATTTTTTTTAAATGGGTGTTTTATGGTGCGCTAGGGCATGCGTGCTACAAAGTGCTGCAGTATCAGACAAGCTTTCTGAAAGGCTGGATCTGTACTAAGTTGACCCAGGTAAATCATAACACAATTAGATAAATTCTACCTTTTCACAGATGCATATAACAGAAATATTAGGAGCCATTTCTATTTTAAGATAACAGAACTGAACGTACTGTATATCTATGTTCAGTCATTATCCATGTCTTGGCATTTACAGTGCTCTTATGTGCAAACATAGCACGATTAGATCACAGTTTTGTTTTTTTTGTTTGTGTTTCTCATCAATCCTTGGTGTAGAATACAGCGTGAGGGCACATGTTGAAGTCTGAATACACAGATATTACTGTCGTCATATTTCTCCCAGCTGAAATCACATCTTCTGCATTATCCAATGGAATTACCCAGGACATGTTTGCTTGTCCAGCTCTGTAAAGTTGCCCCCCGCAAACAGCACAAAGAATGAAACCCACTGCATTTGTTAGTGCTGCGTTTGTGCCATTGAAAGTAGAGTTTGTGCTGCTTTCATTACCGAGATATAGTGCCTTATTTTTTCTGGTAATCAAGTGACTGTCTACAAAGGAGTTTACAGGTACCAACACACTTGGTCCCTTTTATTAGTGAATGTGATGAAAACAACAGGTGCAATTCTGAACACTTTACCATGAATTAAACAAAAGGCACATAAGGTTTTCTTGTTCTGTGAATCACAGGGGAATCACAGAGAACCCAAAAGGACCAGAAACAGAAAGTGTCCCAGAGGGGTGGTGGTTGGACACAGGAAAAGGTGCACTGGCAGCTGTGGTGAAAGAAGTGCAGTTGTGATTGGGCACAAGGAAAGGCGTGCCAGCAGCTGCACGAGACTGGAATGATGCAGTGGTCGGGCATGAGTATGAGGTGAGCTGGTGTGTACACAACCTGGGGCTTGAGAGTCAAGTGCCAGACGGGCTATGTGTGTGTTTAATGAGGGACAGTGTGTTGAGTCTTAGCACGGAGTGAGGTGCAAAGGAGACCCGGAAGGTAGTTAGCTTGTGAGACCCAGCCTGGTAGTGTCAGATGAGAGTGCCAGCAGCTGGAGGTGGGCCTGTATGTCTGAAGCTAACTGTCTGAAGCTTTTGGTGGCTGTGAGCAAGGAGGCTCAGTATGAAGGTCTCTGAGTCCTCACCAAGCAGGACCGTGGAAGGGATGTGGTGGAGACTGGGCACTTCGCTTGCAGATTTCCATGCCCAGAGAGTTTGCACTGTACATGACAACACATGTCCAGGCTACCACGAGGAAGGGGCCAGTGTCAGCACTGCTCTCGGAGGAGTGTGTGGTCAAGTGCAGAAACGTTTTCCCAGCAGGCTAAAAGATGCATGTCTGGTGCATTGGACACACCTTTCCCAGGTGGTGGCCCCTACCCCCAGTTTCACAGGTTCACCACCTGTCTCTTCTGGGAATGGCACCAAGCAAGCAAAAAATGCAGAATGCAAAAGTACGGCAGATGTGGAGGCCTCCAAGTAAGACTGAAACATTGTGACTTTCAACCTTCAGAACGAACAGATCAAGATTGATTTATCAGGACTGCTGTGTACTTTGTTTCACAGAGACGTGGTTCACCCCAGACTCACCTGATTCTGCCATCCAGCACAACAGTTTTCTACATATTATATGTATCTTACTGAATCCTCTGGCAAGGGAAAAGGAAGTAGCAGTTCTATTTCACTGATCAATGTTCCCCAGACCTGGAATACCTGTTGGTGAATTGCTGCCCCTTCTACCAACCGAGAAGTTTTCTTCAGGCATCATGACAGTAGTTTACATACCAGCTGAAGCAGAGATCAAATGAGTACTCAACAAATTATATAATGTAATCAGCAAACATGAAACTATATGCCCTGACACTATATTCAGACTATATTATACTAGAAGTGCTAAACTTTCAATCCCTATTACATGACCATCAAGTATGCCTCTCATCTGCATTTTGATCACCAGATCACCTGTCTGTGTTACTCCATCCTGTTTACAAGCAATTGAAGCGTGAAGAACTGGTGGTGACAATGATACATTGCTGTCTAAGGAGACAGAAGGACTGCTTTCAGTCTGTGGACTGGGCTATGTTTCAAGACATTTCATCCAATCTGAATGAGTATTCAACAGCTATTACAGGCTGTTTGAAATGTGCGGATGGCTGTGTATCTATGAAAATAATCTGGGTTTTTCCTAACCAGAGACCATGGATTAATTGTGTAATTCATTCCATGCAGAGGACCCCATGTAGAGCTTTTAAATGTGGAAACTGATAATTATCCAAGAAAACTTGGTACAACCTTCAGAAAGCCATTTAAAGTACTAAAAAAACAATACTAGAAAAATCTGGAATTGCAATCTTACGCCTTAGATGTTCAGTATATGTGGCAAGGATTATTGGCCATTACGGACTTGAAAGTGAATTTGAATGGAATCACCGTTACTAATACCTCTCTCCCAGATGAACATAATGACTTTTACGCTGATTTTGAACAAGCAAATACGGAATCACCCATGCAACCTCCTACAGCCCCTCCTACAGCCCCAGATGTTCTTTCTGGCACTGTGAGATTATTTAAACTGGCGAACACTCGCAAAGCAGCCGGCATGGACTGTATAAAACTTGAATATATCAATTTGCCGAAGTTTTCCCAGATATCTTTAAGCTCTCACTAGACACAGACTGTTGTTCCTATCTGCTTTAAGAGGGCCACCATTATTCCAGTACCTAAGAAAAATAAGGTAAATGTCTCAATGATTATCGTACAGTAACACTGAAATCCATCGTAATGAAGTACTGAGAGGATGGTAATGGTGCACATTAACACAAGTTTCACTGACAATCTAGATAAACATCAATTTGCATACCAACATAATAGGTCCACAGCTGATTCAGATGGCGATCTACCTTGCATTACACACTGCTTTAGCTCATTTAGAAAATATAAACACCTATGGCAGATTATTATTTATAGATTATAGTTAAGCATTTAATACCATAAACACCTCCAAGCTGGTCACCAAGCTTTTTTACCTGGACCTTAGTACTTCTCTCTGTAATTGGATCCTGGAATTTCTTCCAGGTAGACCTTAGTATATGAGAACATTAAACAACTTTTCCTCAATGCTGAGGAAATAAGTGTTGTAATAAATGTTCTCTCTTCTGCCTTCTGACAGAATATTTAGTATAAAAGCCAGAAACCCTAGGTTCAAAGAAAGCTTCTTTTGCAAAGGGTTAAGACTTCTGAATACCACTTAATCCTTAATGCTCCTACCCCTACTTCACACCTTTCCGTACTGAACTCACAATACTGTCACTACTTGTTTTTTGGTTAATTGTTGTAATTTTGTCAAACAAAGCAGTGACTTTTTATTATTGAGTAAATGGAACTAAAATAATTCTAGGTAAGAGTTACTGTGATTAGACAATCGAGTGGTAATGGAAAATATTTACTCAAAAAAACCTTGTTAGTTGATAAAAAAACTGTGTGGTGAATATGTTTAATGGAGTGTGTAGATTTGTTTGTCTCATTTCTGTGAAGTTTTGATCTGTTTTAGTAAATCTTCTTCATAGAAGAATCCCTTTCATTTCTACCAGGCTCATCCAACTATTAGCCCATGCAAAATATATTTTATACAAATAAAGTTTTTAATGATCAGATTTGTGAATGTAACATCAATGGATATAACACATTTTGTGGTGGCTTAAAAGCACTACTGGACAAATGACTGTCTCTTCAGTCGATATGTAGCATGCATATAAAACCCTTTGCAGAATCTTCTTCAAAGAATACATGAAAAAGCTTAGGAATACATGTTTAAAGCTGCACAAACCAAGAAGAATGAAGTTCCTTCAGCAAGGCAGACAGATGTTTCATTTTATGGAACAGGAGTAAATGAAATCCAACTTGCATTCATCACAAACAAAACTCTTCTTGATTTGATTAAGGTTCTGCTGTGCACCTAAGCAGTACAGAGAGCAGACACATGACTATTTCTTACCTTGAATCTGTGGAACATATGGGGCCAGGAGTTTTGCTCTTTTCTTCTCATAACCCTTCTGGGTGATATCTCCTAGAAACAGACAAGAAAGAACACTGGGTCAGAAAGAATGACCTCTGGCAGTACCTGGGACAGTCCAGCACTCTATCAAGGCAACAATAATACACAGCACAGAATTGGAATCCCAGTATGGTTACACACAGAACTGTAGTGTGTTAAAACAGACCAATAAGCAGAGAGATCCAGGGATCAGACCATTCAATGACAACAGTGAGCCCTTGTCATTGCCCTGACAGTACTACGCGACAGTCACCTTCTCCACTGGCTGCTCAATAACATCTTGGCCAGTCCACACTTTTCTACAATTCAGTTGTATTTCCCTTGTCCTCCTCTAACCCATTTCATGCTTCTAACTTCCAACATTTTAAATCACAACTGTTTTCTTACTGCATTTATTAAAAGTAATCTGTGGTAACTAGCTTTCACAAGGCACCACTCAAAGATTAGAAGCATTATTTCAAATATTTCAGTTTCCAAAAAGGGGGCCGTTTTTGTTGTATACTCAAGCAATTTGGATTTGAGATAAAAAGAGGAATGTGTGGCAAAATTACATAACATTACCGTTTATTTCTGGTTATTTCTGCACATATTATTTAACATTCTAAAATAATACCACTTTATGAGATCCATTCTCCCATTTTAGATGAGAATAAGTATTTGGGACAAATTAACTTTAAAAGTTGCATAAAACTCAGTTTTTGGTTGCAAATCCTTTGCAATAACTGCATCAAGTTTGAGACCTACTGTACTGACATCACCAATCTCTTAGTTTTGAAATACTCTTTTGCTCCAGCCATTTTCAGTTGCTGCTGTTTTGGGGGGGGTTTCTGACTTCAGTCTCCTTTTCAGCAGGTGAAATGCAAGCCCGGTTGTATTTAAATCAGTACATTGACTTGTTTATTTTTGTCTCATCTGTCCATAACACTTTGTTCCAGAATTCTGCTGGCTCATCTCTGTACTTTTTAACAAACTGTAATATGGCCTTTCTAGTACAGGTGCTGCTGAGAGGTTTGTATCCTGTGGTGTAGCCTTTATAATTCTCCTGTCGAAGTAATCTGTGAACAGTAGATTGTGATACCTTCAACCCTGCACTATGAACGTTGTTGGTGATTTAAATAACAATTGTCATTTACAAGTGTGGCTGGATGGTGTTAAAGGTTATGAAAAATCTATAAATAAAAGCTTGGCATGTGTTTTCCAGATGTAAATATATGAAATTCAGTAATGTGAAAGAACCTCTATGACACCTCTAATGGCCTTTTGGCAAGTTACCTAGGATTCAGTAGGTTTTCTACCTGTTGAAGTACATGCCTTCAACAATTTTCTCATATGCCTTCACAACTAAAGGGATCGATGCTTCTGGTCTGAAATCATTTAATGTCTTTGGGGATTTGTGTTGTGCAATCAATATGATTGTTGCTTGTTTCTAAACTTTGGGTTGATATTTTGAAAATCTAAAGAAATATAGTACTCAGTTGCTCATCACATGACTGTAGTACTTGTCCACTGGTGCTATCAGGTCCA